CAAGGTATCTCTATTACCAAGTTTAAAAATACGTGGTTGATAATAACCCCTGGGAGGTGGGTGGAGGTGGTCGCTTTCAAGCTGTTTCTAAAATAAATTTTGTAAATAGTTTGTAATAATTTGTATTTTAAAATTTATTTTAAAAAAAGTCCCGCTGGGTTTCTTGCTGGTTCTTCCCAGGACAGAGGATTTTTTTCGAACCAGTGGTAAAATAAAAATGACTTTCCAGAAGAATTACTTGTAATCAATATTGAATAAATAATAATTCTATTTTATTCTTTAATGGTTTATTTTATTTTCTTTAATGTATTTGTAAGACAGGTTATATATAAATTTAAGCACTACGCTTATTCTCAATATAAACTTAATGTTTATTACATATTTAATATTTTTGCTAGATGCCGGTTAGCCCATATATTATCTATACAGGGTGTTTTTGGAACGCTCCCGAAAACTAAGACAGGCGACAACACCAAGTATACCTTTGATCATGGGTCACAAATAAATTCGATCCTGATGAAAAAAAAAATCATCTTTTTACAAGGTTTTATTAGCTTTATTCACGCGCCATCATGTTAGTACAGCTAAATGAAACGATAATTTCATAAAAAATATCATGAAAATACTGGAACATAAAACCAGCAGTGGAATGACTGAATTGATATCACCTGACCTGAGCTAGATAAAGGTCAATGTACGCGCGAACACAAATTCGCGCGGCCCGCAACTAGCGGGCCATCCCACAATATAATAATTTACAACACGTGTCTAAATACCTAACTTATCTACTTAACCTACTATTTTGCCACTGTACTTATCTCCACGTAGCCACTTTAATCCGAATTTACAGGTTAAATAACCCAAATAACTGGTTCGATTCCCCGCTAATGAAGAAATACTTAAATGAAATGTAACCAAGGTTGGAGTCATGCGTTTTTATTTATCGTGTAGGTATGTTTATTATTCTCATGTATTCAGTTATGTACCTATTCAGATTAGTCTAGTACTAAATTATTTAAAAAAAATAGTTATGAAACAGCTTACTGCTCTAAATCCTCCGTGGTCTTATGAGATGCGGCTCAAATTGTGCTCCATTCATTTCAAGGCAGATTTGGGTGCAGGCGGGGCATCATCGTGTGGTCTTCGACACAGTCCGTACGTAGTTTCTCGAAAGCATCCACGATCCTTTGGCGCATTTTTTCAGCACTATCACATTCACGATTAAAAACCCTTTCTTTCACATACCCCACAAAAAGAAGTCTAACGGAGTCAGATCTGGTGAGCGAGGTGGGCAAGCGTGTGGTCCTAGTCTGCCGATCCAGCGATCATCAAATAGCTCATTGAGGCGCTCACGGATGAACCTCACGAAATGTGGAGGGGCACCATCATGTTGGAACTATGTGCGGCGATATTCAGCCAACGATAGGTCGTTTAAAATGTCAACCAACTGTTCATTTATAAAGTTTAGGTATCGCTGTCCGTTCAGTCGCTCTGGCAGAAACACTGGTCCCAGTATGCGATCCTTAAATAAACCTGCCCATACGTTAACCGACCATCGGGTTTGGTGCCCGGTTTGTCGAACAGCGTGCGGGTTAACCTCTGAATACACGTGTGTATTTCTTCGGTTCCACAGGCCGTTTCTGGTAAATGTCGACTCATCCGTCCAGATAAGTGCTCAATGGAACCAGGCACACGTTGTTGCTGGTATAATAACCAACGGCAGAAAACTCGTCGGCGGTCGTGATCGCCGGGAACTAAAGCTTGCACTTTGTGCAATTTGTATGGGCGCATTGGTTACGCTTCAACACTTTGTGCACTGCACAGTATGACACACTTGTTCCATCTCGACGTCTTAACAATTTATTTAGCGATACTTCGTGTACCTAGGTTCGGATACCTAACATGTTGACCACTATAAACGTACGCGTTAGGCATTATTTAAACAAAAAAGAATCCAAAAACGTAACAAAAACTTTAATATCAACACGTAATCACAAGTAAATTTATTAAACAAAACGATTGAACTGTCGCTCGCGCACGCGTGTACAAAATCAACACGGAACTGTCTAAAAAACTAAAACGAACGAACCCCGTCAAGGCTGAAACCTACTGCGTCACAAGCGTGAGGCGACAGGGAATAGGTCGACAGCGGAGTGAGTGTGGGTACAGTCGCGTTCTAAAGTACTAAATGGTATTGGGCTATTGTTTTATAATATTATAGTAATTAATTGTTTTATTGTAGAATCATAATAGGTGTTTTACTAGCTACTTAGAACTTTGGAAGAGGTGGGAATTAAAAATAGATAATGTTTACTTGAGCATTGTTTGTTATTTCTATCGTAAAATATAAAGTAGTTTGTAACAAAAAAACTTAAGCTAAGGGTGACACGCCGTCCATTATGACGTCTTGGGTCACATGGAAGCCAGATGTTGATGGTGTGTTGGTGTTACTGGATGCTACTTCATCATCACTTTCATCTTCGCTTGAGCTTCCGTCATCAGGTCGATCACATGGTAATTTTTTCGGTATTCTTCCTCAACAATTTTAACTTTACTGCACAATTTTCCCCATTCACCTTCTCCTATCATATTTACCTTTTCGTTCACTAGTTTAGTCATAAAACAATAGATATAAATAATTTTTTTTCCTTCCTTTTTAAAACATCGTCGCGAGTCGCAAAGTAAGCTGTGTATGCGACTGTATTTTTGGAGCGAACAAAGCGCGGGAACCAATAGCATGCAGGCACAGTAATACTGGCCAATATGTGATAAATCGCTCAGTGCCCAAGTTCAAGGCCAGCGTTCTTTTTTCACCGTTCGCGCGTACATTAACCTCCATTAGTCAGGTGATATCAATTCAGTTTCCACTGCTGGTTTTATGTTTCAGTATTTTCATGATTTTTTTTATGAAATTATCGTTTCATTTAGCTGTACTAACATGATGGCGCGTGAATAAAGCTAATAAAACGTTGTAAAAATATGTTTTTTTTTTCATCAGGATCAAATTTATTTATGACCCATGATCAAAGGTATACTTGGTGCTGTCGCCTGTCTTAGTTTTCGGGAGCGTTCCAAAAATACCCTGTATATAATACAATGTATCTAGCTGTAGTTTTTTTTTTGCGCGGCAACAGATGTGATTATGTGTCAACTCAGTACGAATAAAGTAATCATTGAGTGAAGACAGGTTTCTTTCATTATTTCACCTGCAAGCAAAAGTGCACCTTATTATCGAGTGCACATGCTTCTTCGAGGCCGGATCATTCAACTTGCCCTATTTTAATTACGTAAATTTGCGAGTAGATGTAATTGGAGTTATTTTGAAAAATACGGAATACGGACTTATTAGTAAAAATAAATGAACATATTCGAAGAAAAGTTCTGAGAGAAAAGTGAATAACAGTGAAAGAACGTTAAAAATCAGTTATTAGTGAACAAAATTACATTACACGGACAATTGAATTATAAAAACGTTACTTTTGTGCAACGGTAATCCTAAACGAAGTAAATTAAACTAAAATATAGTGAGTCGGCGAACAATTATTAGTGTTTATTAACAACTGTGAATGTTTTAAGGTGAACTTTGGACCTATTGGTAAGAATAATTACCTACCTACATATATGTTGAAAGTTAAGGAAGCTATTCGAAAACTGTGAATTACTACTAAAGTATTTTATTTGTATTGTTGTAAATAAAAGATATTAAATATGGAGAGCGTTGAAAATCAAATGTTGCTACAAGTTGATACATTTGAAAAGGTACAAGAGACGTACGCTAATTACAAAAAATCGCCTAAGGACAGGATAACCGTAGGTTATATACAGAGTAGAATGGAAACTTTAGAAACATATTGGAAGGAATTTAAGTCCGGTCATGAGAAATTAGTTATGGCTGTTTCTAAAAAGGATAGACACATGTTACCGTATTTTGCGGAAGATATATTCGATAAATTTGAAGAATTATATTTTACGTACAAGGGCGAAATGAAAACTTCATTAAATAAATTAATGGTCGATATGAAAAAACCAGACGATCTGCACAAAATAGATGACATGAGACCATGTGGTTCCGGGAGTGATATAAAATTACCCAGTATTTCGATTCCAATTTTTGAAGGCAACTACACGGAATGGCAATCGTTTCACGATCTCTTTATGGCATTAATACACAAGAATGAGTCATTAGAAGATGTTCAGAAACTTTCTACTATCTTCTCTTTAACTATCTTAAGAGCAGCTTGAAAGGAGATGCAGAAATTTTGTTGCGCCAGTTTTCTACTACGGATGCAAATTATGCTGAGGCTTGGTCCATTTTGAAAAAGCGTTATAACAACAAAAGGTACATTGCTAATTGCGTATTTAAAAAGTTTTTTTGTCAAAAAACACTAGCTCAGGACTCAGCTTCGTCCTTAAGGCAACTGCTCGATACGTCAATTGAATGTATGAATTCATTAAAAAATCTTGGCTTACCAATAGCGCAATGGGATGCAATCATAAACTATGTCATCGTGTCAAAGCTGGATCCTGAAACACATAAACAGTGGGAAATTACAATAAGTAGAGATAGTACTGATGACTTACCTGGTTTTGAAGTACTGAAGGCCTTCCTGGAAACACGTTTTCGCATGTTGGATATGGTGGAACCTGAAAATAAAGCTTACAAACTAGTTAAACCTAAGACATTTCATGCGACTTCCACTAGCGAAAATAAATATTGCCCCTTCTGCAAAGAAACTCATTTTATATTTAATTGTAAGGAATTCGCTAAACAACCAATAGAAGAGAGATACAGTTTCGTCCAGAAAAACAACTTGTGTTTCAATTGTTTAATTCCAAATCATTCCGTATTTAAATGCAGGCAGTCAAATACGTGTAAAATATGCAACAGACGACATCACTCTTTATTACATCGAGATTTTATAAAACAAGCAGGTGAAGTAAGGGAAAATACAGACGAAACTACAACAAATACACAAGAAGTTAGCAAGGTTACAGCACATATGTCAAGTGGAGAACAACCCGCTCAACAAGTTTTGTTAGCGACAGCATTGGTAGAGGTGCCTTCGCGAACGGGACAATTGCACGTCTTTCGGGCTCTGATTGATCAGGGCTCGGAGGCCTCATTCGTGACAGCGCGAGTGGTCGAGTTATTAGGTCTGAAGAGGACTCAAATCAGCGGCGTGGTGTCAGGAATTGGTGAAGGTAATAAAGTTTATATTAATCATTTAGTAGGATTACATATTAAGTCGAGGCATGAAAGTGATTTTTCTATTGATGTTAATGCTTATGTTATGAAATCGTTGACTCGTCGACTACCTGCTAGGGAAATAAGAGGGTACGATTGGCCTCAACTTAAAAATGTGAAGTTAGCTGATCCCAGCTTTAACGTCCCGGGTCGGATTGATATTCTACTCGGAGCTGACGTTTTTGGGAAAATTATAGATTTAGGTCTGCTAAAGGGACCGGGCGATGTAATCACTCAACGCACACACATAGGCTGGATATTGACAGGTGATATATACACAACTCCTACTAAAGCACAAAAAATTATTAGCTTACATGTCACCAGGCTAGATGAAGACAACAATCTATTGAAAAAATTCTGGGAAATAGAATCGGAAAAATACACGAGTAAGAAAGCATGGACAAAGGAAGAAGAAAGATGTGAAAGACACTACATAGATACAACGACAAGGGATACATCGGGAAGGTTTGTAGTCCATTTACCTTTAAAGCATAGTATTAAGGAAACAGTGAAGGCATGCGGCGAGACTAAATACCTGGCCATCAAACGATTTAAACAGTTGGAAAGGATGTTTATCAAGCATGAAGATTTGAGAACAGAGTATAGGAATGTGATACATGAGTACTTAAAGATGAGTCATATGAAGAAAGCTGAAAAAGGAGAGGAAGATGAAGCAATTTACTTACCTCATCATGCTGTCGTAAGAAAGGATAAAGACACTACAAAGGTAAGAGTTGTTTTCGACGCTTCAGCCAAGGGTTCCAATGGCCTCTCCTTAAACGACGCCATGATGATTGGCCCCACTTTACAACCTGATCTTCGTGCTCTTATCACTCGCTGGAGGTCTCACAAAATATGTGTTGTCGGCGATATAATCAAAATGTATCGTCAAGTAAGGATGACTAGCAAACACACAAATTTACAACGTATTGTTTGGCAAGATGATATTTATGGAAACATAGAAAGTTATAAATTACTTACCGTAACGTTTGGAACCGCTGCAGCACCATACCTTGCTGTACGGTCTATACACCAGCTGGCTGATGATGAAGGTGACAGGTACCCTCGAGGATCTGCTGTCGTTAAGAATTCGTTCTACATGGACGAGTTAATGACCGGGCATGAAGATCTGTCGGAAATAAAACAAATTTGCGATGAAGTTAAGAATCTGTTAAAAAAAGGTGGCTTTCAAATGCAGAAGTGGTCTAGCAATTCTGATGAGTTGCTGCGGTTTCTTCAAGATGACAAAGACATTTCGGAAACTATGGACAGCATAGAAATAAAATTAGATACGGTGATAAAAATACTTGGTCTTACATGGGACAGAAAAAGGGATATGTTCAAGGTTACAGTCAACTTACCGAAAACCAGGAAACCTGTAACAAAACGGTTAATATTATCAGATGTGGCCAGGCTTTTTGATCCATTTGGCTGGCTCTCTCCAGTGATTATCACTGCTAAGATTATGATACAGAGACTGTGGTTAAGTAATCTTGGCTGGGATGATGAACTACCTTCTGAGCTAGTAGAGGAATGGCTTAGTTACAGAGAGGCACTTCAAGAGCTGCAAGGCATTGAAATCCCACGCTGGATTAAAACGACGTCACGTTGTAAAGAAGTGCAATTGCATGGATTCGCAGATGCTTCTTCCGTTGCGTACGCAGCAGTGGTCTATATCAAGGTTTTAGATGAAGATGATAGGGTCCACGTCACAATGGTGGCATCCAAAACCAAGGTGGCACCATTGAAACAATTGACGATTCCGAAATTAGAACTTTGCGCTGCGGTGTTATTGGCTATGCTATTGCACGACTTATCTGGCCTATGTGATATACATATGGATCAAATATATGCCTGGACTGATTCAATGGTGGTTCTGTCTTGGTTACAGTCTCAACCAAGTCTATGGCAAGTGTTTGTTGGCAATAGAGTGTCGGACATAATTCAGTTGATAGACAATGAGAGGTGGTATCATGTTCAATCAACCGACAATCCCGCTGACCTCGCGTCTAGAGGGTTGGCGCCAATTGAAATGGCAAACAACAATGACATGTGGTGGACGGGACCAGAGTGGTTAAAAAATAAAGGAATGGATTTACCAAAGCATTATATTCCTCAAACATATTTAGAGATAAAAAGATCGTTTAATGTAGTTTTAAAGGAAAAACCAGTTTGGGAAAGATTTTCATCTATGTTACGAATGAAAAGAGTTCTTGCATGGTGTTTACGATTTCTACATAATAAAAATAAAAATGAAAAGTATTTAACTACGGAATAAATGAATGAAGTTGAAGAAAAATTTATAAAATACTACCAGTACTTAGTGTACGAAGATGAAATTAGAGATCTAAATAAGAAAGGAAAGATAAAAGGTAGAAGTTCTTTGATAAGTCTTACACCTTTCTTAGACAAAAGGGGGCTTCTTAGAGTAGGAGGGCGACTAGCTAATGCTAATATAAATGAGAATGCTAAACATCCAATTATAATACCAAAAAGGCAGCATATTACTAAGCTTATAATTAACGAAGCCCACATAAGAACTCTTCATGGAGGTTTTCTTCAGATGCTTACATATATCCGCAGCAAGTACTGGGTAGTTAGTCTGAAGTCTGCTCTCAGAGCAATTATTCGTAATTGTAAGGTGTGCATAATTGACAAGGCAAAAATTAAGCAGCAGCTGATGGGCCAGTTACCACCTGCAAGAGTGAATCCAAATCGCGCTTTCTTCAACAGTGGAGTTGATTTTTCGGGACCTGTGCAATTGCGAACGTCAAAGGGCCGTGGTTACAAATCAACAAAGGGCTATATCTGTGTCTTCGTTTGCATGTCTACGCGAGCTATACATCTCGAAGCTGTTACGGATTTAACATCACAAGCCTTTATTTCCGCATTTAGGAGATTCGTTGCAAGAAGAGGTCACTGCAGGAACTTGTGGAGTGACAACGGCACCAACTTTGTGGGAGCCGCAAAGGAATTAAAGTGTATGTTTGAACAGGGCAAGGCTAATCTGGCGAGGGAGGTAGCTGAGCTCCTATCAAATGATGGCACAACATCGCACTTCATTCCGCCGAAGGCACCCAATTTTGGTGGGCTATGGGAGGCAGGCGTTCGGTCGATTAAGAAACATTTATCGAGAATAAACGGAACTACAAAGCTAACCTATGAGGAAATGGCAACACTATTGGCGCAGATAGAAGCCTGTCTAAATTCGAGACCTATCTGTCACTCCGATAACACCAGTGAAACACTGGATCCACTCACCCCAGGTCATTTTCTCATTGGTGAGCCAATAATTAATATACCCGACATAAATTATGAACACAAAAACGTACGTATGTTATCTAGATGGCAATTTTTACAAAACAGGATGCAAGATTTTTGGCGGAGATGGAAATCTGAATATCTCCACTCATTACAGCAACGGCATAAATGGCAAGACACAGTGCCGTCTCCATGTGTTGGAGATATCGTAATCATTAAGGAAGATGATCTCTAAAGTAACACAATTTCCTTCTTGTCATGAAACATGAATAACGTTCTTACAAATATGAATGAAATAGACAACACAGAAATAGCCTCTGCCTTTGTTTGTCGTACAGGTTTATTTGAAAGTCAGTTAAGACTTTCAAATAAACCTGTGCGACTTTAAAACAAAAGTAGAATTAATTATTCTTACTGAATGTAGACTCCATACTGATAAACATATTCCGCAAATTAATTAATTTATTTCATTTAATACAACTAAACACCTAAATCATGCTGATGCAGTGGTTGATTTTATTAGAGATACTCGTTTACTTAAGTACTATTAATAAATGCAGTAATATAATTATTACAGGTGACATAAATATAAACTTAATACTTAAAACGGATGAAACAACACAAGAACGCAATAATAGAACAAATTATCTTAACATGCGTGCCATGAACGGAATGCTACCAAAACATCTCCTACCAACAAGAGGAATTGTCTTAATCATTTTATAATAAAATTTAGTAAAGGTTATAAAACAGCGTCCATTGCAGTTATTGACTCCAGTATCACAGACCACTTTACAATTTTGGTTAAAATATCAAATACAAATGTTAATATTAAAAAAGAAAACTAAATTATCTACAAACTACGAAGAAGTACTTAAAACTCTAAAAACCACAGATTTATCTAACTTATTAACAGTTAACGACCCGAATTTCATAGTAGAGTTTCGATTCCTAGAAAAAATAGAATAATCAAACCTTGGATTACCCTGGGAGTTCTCCGCTGCATTAAAAATAGGAACGATATGCAACGTAAGGTAAAATTAAATCCAGAAAACGACATTTTCAAAATCACATATAAACGTTACCGTAATTTTTGTAATTGCTTGATTAAAAAACTAAAACAGGATGCAAGATTTTTGGCGGAGATGGAAATCTGAATATCTCCACTCATTACAGCAACGGCATAAATGGCAAGACACAGTGCCGTCTCCATGTGTTGGAGATATCGTAATCATTAAGGAAGATGATCTCCCACCAGCGAAATGGCTATTAGGAAAAATTATAACACTACACCCTGGTGCTGATCAACTCGTCCGCGTGGCAACAGTGCAATGCAAGGGAAATAACATTCTTATGAGACCATTGTCAAAGTTAATATTACTTCCAATGAAACCGAATGATGAAGAACTATGTCACTGCTAAGGATTATACCTAAAAGTGGTCAGCTAATTTCACATTTTCTATATTACATAATTTATAAGTAAACTAAAATTACAATTATTTTAATAATATTTCATTACATCATATCACTGAAATATCTATATAAAACAACAAAGTCATAAAAAAAATGGAAAAGATAAAATACGAACTTGCGTCTTCCTTTAACTTTCAATGTACTATGCTAGTAACAATAAGCCATCGAGGACTTCGCACCTAAACAATGTTGCAATGATAATGGGAACAATTTTTGTTATAGCTTATTTTAAGTTTAAATCTGTAAGCCTTTTAGCCTTAAGTTTGTGTATTTTTATCATAACATATTAATTACTTTATTGCATAAATAAATGTAAACCTATTTTTCGATTTAAGATTTACTAATATTACTTTGTTCACGCCTATTAGTTGTGTTATAAGTGCTGAAATGTTAAATTAATTTCTAAAGGTATTGTTACATACGGATACAGTCCACGTTTAGAATTATGAAAAAAAAAATAGTGAAGTAATATAAATTAGCATTAAAAAATTATATTTAAGATTTATTGCTTGTTCTTTTCTACTTCACAATATATCTACTTAATCATAAGATTGTTAGAATAAATACTTTATGGTGCCTAGTCCTTCGATATTTTGCAAATAGTAGGAATTTTGTACAAGTGCCCTCTCTCCATATATGTGCTGCATGTTATAATACGATATGTTTAAACCTGAGCGAAAAGTTGATTTTACTGTCGATATTTCAATTCTCATGAACTGTATATATATTATATAAGTTTAAAAGTTAAGGTATAAGTTGTAACTTTATTACTATTTACATTACATTTTGTTTTGAATGTTTGTCTTTTTTGAGCACTTAGTTAAAAACTGTAGTTTTTGGAGGGCGGTATGTTTATTACATATTTAATATTTTTGCTAGATGCCGGTTAGCCCATATATTATCTATATATAATACAATGTATCTAGCTGTAGTTTTTTTTGCGCGGCAACAGATGTGATTATGTGTCAACTCAGTACGAATGATTACTTTCATTGAGTGAAGAAAGGTTTCTTTCATTATTTCACCTGCAAGCAAAAGTGCACCTTATTATCGAGTGCACACTTAAGCAATATAAATTCTCACACTCCTCCGTGCGCGCAATGTGCTTAAAAAGGGACGCAAAGTTTTCTTTTCATATATTAATATAAAAATTAATATATAACACAAAGTAGTAAGTTTATAAATATTGTGTTAGTAAATTCTGAGAGAGTGATTTAAGGTCTATGTTTTATGGTGGCGTACACGGCTAACAACTCAAGTAATTGCCGTGTAGAACCTCAATGGCGACTGTATAGCGAGGATAACGTCTAGCAGATGTGATAAATACCCTCTTATATCAATGTAAAAACTTTTATTCAATTTAGGCTTGTTTATTTTCAAAATCTACAACAGTTTACATAAATAAGATCTTCTCAGAAAAGAACCTTCTTAGGTCGAGGCTTCGTAGTTGCAGTGTCGTATTTGACACAATAGCATAATAGCAAAATGTAAAAAAAAAATGTATCTGTTGGCAACTTTCGAATAGAATTTGAATACTAAATGGAAGCGACCATAGGCGGGTAAGATGGTGTTGTTGAGAGACTGCTTTGTGTTACACTGAGATAATGTTGCTATTGGTTTGCATATTTTGGTGTTATCGTGTAATAACGTCCCTCACATTACACTGGTGTGTGATTGTGGTGGTACCGTGTTACGCTGTGGTTGAACTGTGATTGTTCTATATTGAATATGTAGTCCGTTACGCTGTCTTATTACTGATAATGTTTCATTTCGTAGTCAAGAGAGCAAGTGGAACATCTAATCACACACTATTTTTAACAATTAACCTTATCATTCATAGAGATATAGAATAAAAGTAAAATATTTGAACATAAATAAATAACATTTGGTAAATTAAAATAATATAACAAAACTACTCTTGGTTCCGCGATAAATCATGCGACATAAATATTATACGTGGTAGAGCCATGCTGCAGCTATATTAGTAATATAGTTGTAGTACAAATGAGTCGGCTCGATCGAGGAAGGAACACGCTCTTACAGATATCAGCGTAAAATGGCAGCTTGATACTGCTGTGTTTCGTATGGTGAGTGTAGAGAACCGGTGACACAATTTACTGGAAAAGAGGCATTCCACCTTAGCCCTCACGGGTGACGACGCATCTGTATTTTGATTCTTTATTGAGGATAGATGTGGATGTCTATGGGTAAGAGACCATTTTTACTGGAAAAGAAACATTCCATCTTAGTCCTCACGGGTGACTATGCATTTACATTTTGATTCGCAAATGAGGATAAATGTAGATGTTTATGGGCCACAGCAACCACTTATCATCAGGTGGACTGTGTGCTCGTTTGTCACCCTATCCTATAAAAATAACAGATTACGGGTATTGGGTATAAAACCAACAAACCAAAAGTCCACGAAGTCGAGTGGACGTGTGCTAAGGCCCAGTTGAGAATCATTGTTCGATTTTTGCTGCGAATGTTCAAAGCTTCACATTTTCTTTATCTTGTAATGAAAGATGTCTAATCGGCATTCC